CAGTACGGTGTGGTGGGTGTGGGTGGGCGCTGGAGGAGGCCGCTGCATCCTGTACCATCCCGCACCTCGTGCTGGTGGCTGTGCCCCACGCGTCCCTCAGACACACCAGGTGGCCACCTTACACTGGCCAGTTTCACTGAGGCCCTTAATACAAGTCATTTTTAAAAAGCTACTTCTAGACTGGGGTCCTAATTAGAATAAGAGGGACTCCACGTCTTACAAACATGTCAAAGTACACTACTGTCAGCTGTGACCAGAGGACAGATTTCTAAAAATGCAAAAAAAAAAAAAGCTACTTCTACTTCTAGAATAATCTGCCCAAACTAGACCAGGCCAAGAGCAAAGAGCACTAAGATAACCAAAGGGGACAGAGGACAGCAGCTTCCAGGGCTTCCACACTGACCTAAGAGAGAGTGGCGCTCGAGGGAGATGGTCATTTACCCAGGAACAGGATTCCCTCCCGAGTCAGTGCCACCTTGAGGGGACACTTCCACGTCCCTGTCTAGGGCACCCTAGCAAGGATCCAGGGCCTTTGGTGGCCTGGACAGGAGCTTAGCAGCGTCCCCACAGAGCGTGGCGGCTAAGGGCAAGGCCTGAGGACCATGACATCACCCATTCTGGGTACAGCCTGGCGTCTCCCTCAACCCCGTGTGGACGAAGCCAGATGCCACCCCAGAGAAGGGCCTGAGCCCCGAGCCCCCGCCCCCCCCCCCGGTGGTCACCCCGGGCCTTACCTCTGGCAGTGGGAGGCCGGCTTCTCAAATGGGCAGAGCTGAGCCACGGTGGTGTAGCAGTCCACGTCCTGCACTGTGGGGCAGAGGGAAAGGTCAGGTCCCCACGGGGGTGGGGGGGCAGCGCTCTCTCCTTCAGGCCATTGTGGTGAGAGGACAGCTCTGACACCAGCCTCTTGGGGTCCCTGACCGCGGCCTCCCCAGGCCAGGGCTGGACAAGTTCTTTCTTAAGGCTCAGAGCGTGGACATTTTCGCTGTGGCCTAATGTCACATCAAGACCACTGGACGCTGCTGGAGCAGCAGGTCCCTGTTGGTGACGTGTGAGTGGGGGGCCTGGCCAGGGGTACTGAGGCTCCATCCACCATCAGGAGGCAGACAGACCCGGCCCACAGGCCAGTTTGCCAGCCCGGCCCCGTCTGTCATTTGGACGGGTCCCGGGTTTCCGCAGCTGCCCAACAAAGGACCTGGCTCCGTACCACAGGGACTTCTATTCCGTGGGATGCTGGGGCGCGGGGTGGGGTGGGGACATTAAAATTAGGCTTAGAAGACTATTTACAGGCATGGAAATGCATTCCTGAGCCACAATTATTAAAGGAAAAAAATCAATTTGTAAGCTAATCCCTTTTACATTTAAAAGTTACCGATGTATACGCTTTTGAAAGACAGGAAAAATAAACTGGGACATCACCCAAAGGATGTGGTTACCACTAACCAGTAGAATGTAGGTCAAGCTAGCTTTTCAAAAACATGTTAAAGGCTCCACGGTATCTTTAATTAGGTGGATACACAAACATCGTTTCTGTCCTAAGGAAAGCTCTGTGACGACGTTTTTATAAAGGCCACTAACAATTCTTGCCTCTGGGGCAAATGACAAGAGTTGCTTTCCAAAAGGACGAGAGGGCTGAGCAAGTCCAGGGAGGGCGCTGGACGGAGCCCTGCACTGCCTGCCGCGAGCGGCCCAGGCAGGGCCCACTGGGACAACCCTCGATCACACCCTCCATCACCGGCTGGAGCCACCTCCCATGTTACCAAAGGAAGCCCCAGGGCAAGAGGAGCTGTCTGCAGGGACGGCAAGTCTCCCTCCTTGTCCAGGCAGGCCTACTGACCACTACGCTCTGCTTCCTGCCGAGTGCCAGGCGAGGCTCAGCATCCTTCTCAACCCAGGGCTCCGGGTGGCCACTGCCACTCCCATTAGTAACGGCAGCCCCAGGCACCAGCACTCCTGTGACATCCAACAGGACAGCCCAGCCCTGCTTCTGACTCTGCCGTCCAGGGCCAGTTGCGAGTCCAGTTATGTGGAGAAGCCCATCAAAGACAGGACCCCTCAGGGGCCTCTGGAAACGACCCTCCTGACTCTGGGACCAGGGTGCTGGCGGGCGTGGCGGAGGGAGGAGAGGGCAGTGACCCCAGGAGTAAAGCTGGCAGGGGGCAGAGGTCACCCACGCGCAGTCCCCCTGAGTGACCGCGGCTCACCTGTCACTTTGGACACCATGAACGAGCTGGAGGGCTTGTATTTGCTGGAAGAGAGAAGGTCAGGTCAGGGAGCGGAACACGCCTCGGGCTCGTCCCGCGGCCGCCCAGCTCGGCCCTCCCAAGTTCCAGCTCTCAGAATGTTCTAGAGCAGGGCCAAGACTCCTCTGGGAACCCAGTGAGACCTACAGACTCTCAGACCACGCTTTTAAGATGTGAAGGTACATCCCAAACACCACAAAGGAGTTGGCGGTTATTATGCGATGACTGAATACTGTGCTTCTTCATTAATGCACAGCCGAGTAGGGTCAGGGATGGACACCCTGGTGCCCGTCCTCCCAGGGTCACCACTGGAGGGACAGTGCTTCAGACGTCTGCGGTGACTGGTTCCACCAGCAGGGACGTCACCTCCCAGGGGTGCTGCATGGAGGCTGTGCCCAACATCAGGAAGGACACGCTCCACTGCAGGTGGGCGCCGGTGGGCGGGCGCTGTGATTCACCCCGCCAGGTGGGTGGCAGGCCTGCCCAGCCCAGGCAGGAGCCAGGGGCACCCTCGGAACAGGAGAGGCTGTTTGAAGGAGCCCCGGGCACACAGTTACCTCAAGGACTCCACGCCGTGTTTCTGAGACTTGACGAAGAAGGGTGCCTGCCCGTTCCTGGTGATGTCCACCAGGCCCCCTTTGTCGTCCAGGACTCCGGCGTGCAGGGCGGCCCGGCATACGCTGGACGACTGGAGGGGGTGGGAGGAGGCCACAGGTACAGTCTGAATTAGTCTTTGTTAGAAATGCCCAGGAGGTTTGTCCTTAAACCCCTGGAAGCCAATTCGCCGGCCCAGGCTCTCCCCACCCCGACCGTCCCCTCTCCATAACCAGGTCTTTGTTCCCGGGCTGGCTTATCTGCAAGACCCCATCCGAGTCGCTTTACCAGCTCAGGACGGTGACAAGAGCCCTTTCTCCCCACTCAGCGGAGCATGCTGACTCTGGGTCTGACGCGGAGACGGCCCGTGAGGACCAGCCCCCGTCCCCACAGGTGGCTCTGCAGGCTGGGAGCCCCCCAGCCCCGGTCAGCTCCAGACCCTCCAGGTGTGACCCAGGGGTGGAAAGGAAGCCCTCTGCTATGAAGCCACCACCTCTTTAAAAACACACGGCAGCGTCCAGCCGAACGCCCACAGCAACGCGGACCACACTTACACTCTCATAGAACACGGACCCGAAGACCTTCGCCTTGTGGCTCAGGCAGCCTCCTGGGCACTGGTACCTGAAGGAAGAAATGGCGTTCAGAGGGCGCGTCGCCGATGAGGCCGCCTACCGCCTGAGTGCGCTTCCTTCAAGAGCCCATTATCACATCTAGAGGCGCCGCGCCCAGGGAGACCCCGCGGCTCTCACAGTTCACCAGGGCCCGGCGGGCTCACAGTCACACACTGTGGTCTTGATGGCGATCACACACTCAGGGAGACACAGGGGAAAGACCAGAAGCCCTGATTGTCCCCCGGGACGTGCAGGTGATGAGGGCCGTTTTCTGACTGTCACTCACCAGGGCATTTGGTCAGGGGAACTCAGAGAAGCTGCTCCGTTCGTGACCCCCAGACCCACCCAGAGACTCCGGGCGCGGGGCCACACCTGTGACCCCAGCACCCCAGAGGCTGAGGCAGGGGCATGCCGGTTTGGGGCCAGCCTGGGCCACTTAAGGAGACCCTGTCTCAGAAAAAGCGGGGAGGGGGCCCAGGACGTGTAGCTCAGCGGTGGACCCTGCCTCGCCCGGGAGGCCTGGGTCCTTCCTGGGACCACACAAGCACAGTACGCCCCCACATCCACTCCATGGCCCCGGAATTTCCCTCCAAGTCCACATCCCAAGCAACAAGTCCCACGGTCAGCCCCACACCCAGGCCAGCTGTCACCATGGAGACGGGGAGAAGCCGCAGGTGACCTGAAATGGCCCAACACGGTTGTGTAGCCGAATGCCAGCGTGTCCTGCAGCCACCCACAAGGGAGTGTTTGAGGGATATTTCTGGACTTTGGAACATTCTGAGGGTCCCTGGGACGCAGCCGCTCCTGCTGACCACGTGCTGCCAGGAAGCTGCATGGAAAGTCCTGCTGGGCTCCGGCTGCCCTGCCCTCAGCACAGAGAGGTGGACGGGGCCTGACAAACACCTGGGCCGGCGAGACCTCCTGTTTCTCACCTGGACGACTCGTCGGCCGGGCCGTGTGACCTCTGGCCTGTCTGCAGCTGGGCCGTGCTCGTTAACCAACAGCCCAACCACCTGCAAATCGGACACCTGCTGGGGTGTCCCGCCTGCTGGAGTGTCCCGCCTTGACCGGCTGAACAGACACGGACATGGAGGGAGACCCATGGATAGAGGGAGCGCCACGGACACGGAGAAGCCTCGAGTGCCCTTGGGTTCTGTGAAGCCACCTCATTCCCACCGCACCCCCCACCTGCTGCGTTAGAAAGTCTGCCAAGTCGCGTTCCCAGCTGAGTGACCAAGCCTCCCGATGGTCCTGGGTCTCCCAGGACCTTTCCTACTAAAACCAGGAAAAGTCCCTGGCAAACTGGGACCCGCTGATCAGCTGCTCTGGGGCCAGGAACCCACTCATTTCCCAGGGGCGTGGCAGACAGTGTCCCGGTGAAGGGCTTCACTCTGTGGTCGGCGTCAGGGCCACCGAGGTCACTCTTGTGTTCTCAAGTCCCCTGTGCTTGGCCCCCGCCCCAGCCTGGCACTTACCCCCTTTCAGCTAAGACTGAGCGGACCTCTGCAGGCCCTAAGCGCCTTATCCGCGTGCAGCTGGAAGACCCTCCTGGTCCTGGCTCCAGAGGGTCACGGTCGGGGTGGCCCACCAGGCTCTTGGGTTGGAGGACAAGCGAGCCATTTCGGGTTCACAACACCAGCCGCAGGTCAGAATTTCCCAGGGAGCGGGTGAAATGCTCTGGGAACCCAAAGCCCTGGAGAGGCCGAGCCCTCTCAGGCAAAGTCAGCGTCACGGGCAGCGGCCTCTGGGACGAGTCCCTTCTGAAAGTCCCCTGGGAGATCCTGGTGGTGCGGGTGCCAGGTGCCTCTGGCAGGGACAGCTTGTTACATCCTTCGACACTGAGAGCTGGCCCTAACACGGCCTGGAAACCTGGGCACGGAGCACACTCGTCCCTCAGGGACCGCACCGGCTCACGCCGCCTTCGCCCTCTTGAGAGCCACTTTGCCTGCGCACCGCCATCTGCTGTCCCCAGGCTGCATGGGGGCCTCAGGGCTGACCCCAGGATGCAGCTCCTGGTGTGCAGGGTGTGAGCCCCCCATCCTGAGACCCTCGAAGGGAGCAAACACCTGGGCGGGAGACCCAGCTCCGTCACCCCCACGTGCCGCTCTCACCTGGGGTGGTGTCACCCCTCAGGGACATTTGCAGTCCCTGGAGACATTTGGTGATCACCCCTTGGGCAGCTTGCTACTGGCACTTGCTGGGTAGAGGCCAGGGAACTGTCGGCCGGCCCCAGGAAGACCAAGCCGGCCCCAGTGCCAGGAGAGTGCAGCCCGGGCCCTGCCTGTGTCGACAGGAACAGCCCCGGGAGCCAAGCTCTCGGGCACTGGGGGAAGGCAGAGAAAAGGCGGGGTGCCGTGGCCAGGGCGCGCCTGACCCGGGCCTGCTCCTGGCTCGCTGGGCCCAGAGCCGTAGGGAATTGGGCGTGGAGTGAGGTGTCCCCAGAGCACCCGCGTCCAGGCAGGGGTGGAAGGAGAGGAAATGGCAGGACTGAGAGCTGGGACCTGTCAGCCCACCCAGTGGGACTGGACTCTCTGGACGGTCACTGTGAGCAGGCAGGCGTGGCTGAGACGGTGGTCACTGGGGTGGGCCCTGGAGGGGCGCAGCTGCTCTGCAGCCCATTCCCTTCCCTGCTTGTGGCTGCCCGGGATGGACGGCGCTCCTCCCCCACGCCCTTCTCGGACCCCAAGCGATGGGGAGGCTGACCGTGGACTGACCCTCTGACACTGTGAGCCACCACCCACGGCTCCTCCTCTGAGCTGTTCTTGTCAGGCATGTGGTCACAGTGACTCCAAGCTGACCAACAGCCCGTGTCCACGAGTTTCCACGCACCCGGCCCAGGGGCTCCGAGGGGCAGGTCAGCCAGACTCACCTGTTGCACGTAGACCCCTTGCACTTGTCCTTCATCTTGGTGTCACAGCGGATGACCTGGGCTAGGAGAGAAACGGGGAGGTATCCGTCACAGCAAGAAGCCAGGAGGGTGAGTGCGAGCTAGAAGGCCTCCCGCAGGTCATTCTGGAACATTCTGGAGCCAAGCCATACAAGAGAAGAGCAATGCCTGGCAGCTGTGACCTCACAGGGGCTCAGTCCCTTGTCACTGTGGTGTGACCCTGGGTGCCGCTCACTCTCTGAGATCCCATTCCACATGGGGATAATTATGGCACCCACTTGAAAGGCCCTGTGAGCACTAAAGGGTGAGCAGGTGTGGTCCGGAAGCAGCCTGGGACCACTGGTGCCCCGCAGCCCCGCCAGGTTCTGGCGGCAGGACCCACGAGGACAGGGTCCTTGTCCCAGCCCAGGTGCCAGACATGGCCGCCTCCCCATGGTCAAGGGAGCTGTGCCGAGCTCCCGTGGCGTGGTTTACAGGGACGCGTCAGGGTCCAGAGTGGGGTCGCTGGAGAGGCCCTGGCCATATCATGATTCCATATGATTAAAACTGCCACCACTTCAGAGAGACAAGGGACCAGCGTCCTGGTCAAAATGAGCTGCAGAAGAGTCACCTGCCGGGAGAGGCTTGAAGGCAGGGGAGGAGAGAAGATGGACGGGGCCAGGAGGACAGAGGTGCTGAAAAGGCAGGAAGGGTCCCCAGGGCAAGCAGGGTGCAGGGTCAGGATGCCCTCACAGTGAGTCCAGCTCTGTGCTTCTTGGTCCTTGGGGGGAACGAGCCACAGCACTCACCCGGGCCATCCCGGCCGAGGAAGTGCCCGGCCCTCAGCCAGGCTGCCCCTGGGGGCCAAGCTCCAGCCAAGCCCAAAGCTCCAGGGTGCTCAGCCATCAGAGGCAAGAGGTGAGCAGGGGACACTGCTGGGCTTCCTGGTCCTGGGAGAAGCACTTGGCCTCCCGCCCATCAGGGATACTGGGGGCGCTTCATGGTGGTCTAGAGTGGGGACACTGGACGGTCCCATCACAGCCAGTAACCCCCAGGACTGCCCTGCGCTGGGCATGGTCTCCCCACTCCACGGAGGAGCCCAGAGCCAGAAAAAGCAAAGGGTCACCTGGCCCAGAGCTGGAACCCTGCAAAGGGGTGGCGGGAGGTGCCCGAGCCCCTGGACGTGGTGCCCGAGCCCCTGGACGTGGTAGGGGCTGCATTCCCGTTGACAGGCCAGCTGCCCCAGGGGGGACCTACCTCGTCCAGGTCTCCTAGGAAGGACCTGGGGAGCGGTCTACTCTGGCCAGCCGGGCACCGCTTTCTGCCGCCTGCCCCCTGTGGGCCCTGCCCAGCTCCCCTCAGGTCACCCGGTGGCTTGGTGAGCAGGAGGCGGGGACCAGGACTCACTCATGTATTTGACCGCGGGGGTCTTCTTGGGCTTCGTGGGTCTGACCACCCTGGGCTGGACCCAGACGTGCTTCTCTTCGGGGACGGGGGCCGTTTCCACCTCGTTCATGTCGTCCGTCTCGGGCTTCTGGCCGTAGGTCTCCTCTGGGCGGGGGCGAGGGGGACAGCACACACTGGGAGTCAGCAAAAGGACTTGGGGGGGCAACTTGTTGGGGGGTCAGTGCCTCAGAAGTCATTTCGGCAGCAGAGAGAAGGTTCCATCGGGGACAGACCCAGCGGCCGGCACCCACCAGCCAGGAGCTGGCTCTTCCCACCACGATTGCCATGGACCCAAGGGCAGGGAGGACGCCTGTCCAACCAGAGCTGCTGTCCATCTGCCGCCCACGACAGCTGTCCGAGAAGGCAGCTTCAAGGAGCTTCCGGGTCACTGACCCAAAGCCCTCGCCTTCCCCGAGGCCCCTCTGCCCTTTCATTGGGGGAGGGGTCACAGACCCAGGTGGATGCTCTGGGACCCCAGCTGCACCTCCGGCCAGCCACCTGTGCCCGCTGTGCCCTGGGGAGTGACTGTGTCACGGCTTCGGGCTCATCACCCACGACCGTCCAAAACCTGACTCTGCTATCCGGTCCCAATCCTCCCCACAAGGGCATGTGCGTCACATTTCTCCAACCACGACCCCCAAGTTTTAAACAAGTTGCACTTCTTAAATATCGGTCCGCTTTCATTTTCGTCATGATGGACAGTCCTGGGCTGCTGGCCCACCAGGACACCAAGCTAAGTCCAGCCAAAGCCAAGAAGTGAGAGCCAACCTGTGGCCCGGGGACCTCATCAAGGGTGAGCAGACGTGCGGCTCTGCCAGGGGCCCCTCTCCTCCGCCATCCACAGCCTGCACCTCCTGTCCTCCGAGACTTGGGGTCCCCTGCCTCCCAAGCTCCTCAAGTGAAAGGGACAATACAGACGCTCCTCAGCTTACAAGGTGGTCACCCCCGAGAAGTACTTAAAACACGAACTGCCACGGCCCAGCATGGAGAGCGCTGGCCAACGTCTCGGCCTGGAGAAGACCAAGACGCAGAGTTCTAAGTCGGGTTTCCACCGAGCACATGCGGCTTCCAGCAAGGTCCAGAGGCCGCCAGTCCAGCCACCCCGTCAGAGGCCTTCGCCGGGTGTTGGGTGAGAGGACTGAAGGAGCAGTGAAGCCCCTCGCAGGCCTCCTGCCTTCCAACCCACGAGCTCTCTGCCAGAGGGCAGAGCAGGGGTTTCTGTGCACACAATCCAAAGGTCCGGCAGCTGAGCACCCTCAAGCGCCGTTCCAGGCCCGGCCTCCACGCTGTTCCTGGCTAACTCACTGCCCACCACCCCACTCAGCCAGCACTCCAGAGGAGCATGGGTGGGGGAGCCAGGAGGAAAGGGGGGCCCCATCCTTTCTTATGCTCTGCTGGTTCATCCTCGGCCGCCTGCTGCCCAGGCCATGCTAACCAGCCCCCGCACTAGGAGCCACCGGACAGAGCTCACCGCGGAAGGACTGTCACCCAAAACAAAAGGAGGCCTGGCCACCCAGTCAAGGACACCCAAGGAAGGGACCGCCGGGCGCCCGAGCAGGGCGCTGGAGGAGCAGCTCCGCAGACACGGCTGGCGAACACGCCCGGCCCACGGCCCCTCCTGTGCCCTGCGCCCGTCAATGTGGCTGTTCAGGCTGCCGTCTCCTGAGGCCAGAGCCGCTCGGCAGTGAGCTGGGTGTCTTCCACTGGCTTCGGGATTTTACACCTCATAATCGTGGCTGTATTTAGCAGGATATGGCCTGGTGAGGCGCCCAGGGCGTTGGAGGGTGCCCATTGCAGGGCTGGGCAGACAGGTCCTCAAGGGGCTGCCCCCCGGGCAGCTGCAGCTGGGCACATCCCAATTAGGATCCCTGTGAGGACCCACCTGGGGCTGGGGAAATTCCTGTCCCGTCCACCTCAAGGTCACGTCCCAAGGTCGCGCTCCAGGCTGGGAGTCCTGGGGCCCAGAGCGTCACTTACATCCCTTGTAGACTCTGCCTGGCCCCGCGGTTACAACGGAGCACAGAGCTCACGTGACCCCGGGCAGCGTGGGTCCCGGCATCCCCCCACTTCCCCTCGTTCCCTTAGAGACCCCATCAGCCCCACCACAGGAGGCTGGGCTCAGAGAGGGGAAGCGACCTTCCCAAGCTCATACAGCTGGAAAGTGTCCAGCAGGCATCCAGCTCCGCTCCCTGACCTCCAGTCCCACCCGGGGGGCTGGAGGGAAGCCAGCTTCTCTTCTCTCTCCTTATCCTTAAGCCCCCGTATCTCCATTACGGGTCAGGGCCCTGCCCGGCACCTGCGACGCGCACTTATTAAGTAGCTTATGCGGGTAAGCGGCTCTCGGGGACTGTGCCTGGCTGGCCCAGGAGACGGGGAGGCCTGCCAAGAGGAGTTGAGCGTTTTCCACCAAAAATAAAGAAACGTGTACACGGGGCATCGTTTCGTGGGTAAACTGGCATCTGAGGTCTCTGTGTGCGTCTGTCCTTTGAAAGTGAGTCTCTGTGGAAACTGGGGGCATATTTAACCCAAAACCACGCAGGACACACAGGCCACGTGCCCCAGGGCCTGAGTGCCCGGCAGGTCCAGCAGGGCAGGGTCACGGGGAGCTGGGGTCATGAGCACATGGGGCAGGTGCACTGCGGCTCCCAGCAGCAGGCCACCCCAGCCGTTTCTCAGGAACAGCCAGGGGCTGGCGGGAGGGGGTCCCTCCTCCCCACAGGGAACAGTCAGCTGTACACAGCTGCTGGGCAGCAGAGTGCCCGGGTCCCTGCAGCCTCCCTCTCACCCTCCTCTCCTCCCCGCCAGAGCCCTGACCGGCCCCGGGTCTCCCTGCCAAGAGGGCTACTCCCGCCTGCCACCTCCCCTGACGCAGAGCCACCTGTTCTCCTGCACGGCCCACGGTCACTGCTGACGGGGCCGCACGAGCCTCGGCAGCCAGGGCCCATTTGGCCCTTCCTGGGACATGGCCCTGGAAGCCCAGGGAGGGGCAGGGACAGCAGTGGGTGGCCACGCACAGCAACAGAGGGTGTGGGGACACGGCAGGCCCCGCCGACGGGCACGGGAACAGCGGAAGGGCTGGGCCTTGGTGCTCCAGCTTCGGCCGCAGGAGGAGAGAGTTTCGGGGGCGAGCAGGACCCCCAGGTGGAGCGCTGGGGCCTGGAGTAGGGTCTGGTTCCCTGCTTGGTGTCAAGCCGTCCCTGTCACTCGGGGCTGTCCCCTGCTCCTACCTCGGTAGCACAGGTTGTTTCTGCAGCTGCCTCCGTAGCTGGGCGGGCACTCGGAGCAGGGCCGGCCGCTCTTGTAGGGGGCTTCTCCGATCCAGTTCCCCCTGGAGGAGACCAGGAACACCGTCAGGAGGGCCTCGGGGCCTGGAGGTGAGACTCTCCCAGACCCCCCGGGGACCCCGAACACAGTCCCACCAAGTTGGGGGGGAGGGTGTGTGCCAGGGACAGGCAGCCACCCAGGTCCTCCAGGGCCGACTAGAGAATTCCGAAACCCCACAGAACCCTTCCACCCGGCACCTGGTCCTGCCTCCTCAGCCCTGAGTGAAGCCTGGGCCCCGGGTGGACACCAGGCCTCCAGCAGAGGGACCCACCCCCCTCGGCTCCTGAGAGTGGGCTGTGGTGAGGCCTCAGCAGGCGGCCAGTCGGAAGCCCCAGGGCTGCTCAGGAGGGTTGGTAAACCAGAAGCCCGCCCAGGCTCTCCTCCCACAGCGTTCCAGGGAGGTGGGGGCCTGCTGTACTGGCCAGAGGACCAACTGCGGAAACAGCTCTGTTGAGCCCGTGCCCCTCTGTGTCCTTGAACCTGGGGGGGGTGGCGGAGGGGTGGCAGGGGAGGGGGGCTCCACGGCTGGGGGAGGCTGGGTGCTGCCTCCGTCCTCTTCACGCATGAGGCCACCACAGCATGAACCTGTACCACTCCTGAGCCCACCCTTTCGGCCAGCGTCCACCCTGGTGCCGGGGACAGTGCCCGGCCCAGCCCAGGGTCTTGGGCTCTCTCCTTAGGACAGAAGCCGTGGACAGAGCTGCCCCTCACATGGCCACAGTAGGCACACACACCACGGGTGCCTCTCACAGAGGCGATGCCCGGCAGAAGGTGCTGGACACGCAGAGCCCACACACAGCCCCTGCTGCGGGGTCCCAACCAGACTCTGTGGCTCTGTCACCAACGCGGGTGCTGCTGGGACAGCAGGTGTGTGCGAGCACAAGTGTGTGTGTGGGTGTAAGTGGACATGTCCACGCTCGACCCCAGGATCCGTGCATTGACGCCCTACACCCGTGTGGCCTACATCCGGAGATGGGCTGCTCAGGAGGGAAGGACGCTGCCGAGGCCATCGGGTGGGTCCTGGTGCACCCGTGACTGTCCTTCCAGAGACAGCCAGGGGGCTCACGCCCTCGCTGCCCGGGAGTACCCGCCAGGAGGCGGCCTGGCCAGAACCCTGCGGGGCCAGGGCTTGACCTGCAGCCCCTGGGTCCCAGCAGGGAGCGAGGAGCCCGCGGTGGAGCTGCCCCTGGCCACAGGCTCCTCGGGCAGCTCGTCCTGCACGTGGCTCCCCGAGCAAGGCGGGTGCTGAGGGGCCTCCGTTCTGACTGCACCTTCAGGGTGTGTTTCACATAAAGAAGAGTCAACCCAGTGGCCCCTCCCCGGGGGCAGTGACGGTGCTCCGTGGGCTCCGGGGCCTCCTAACGGTGACGTCACACTGGCTTCCTCCCGGCCTCGGTGATTCCCCATCTCCTACCTCCCAGGGCCACTCTCGACCCAACCCAAGCAGATGAGGTCATTCCCGTCTCATTCAGTCACTGGGCAAATATGCCGTGAGGGCCCCTCTGCAGCGTGCCCTGCGAGGACAGCGGCCAGCGGAGTGACCGGCAGGCAGACCGCGGGCTCACACGGGGACAGAAGCTCCAGGGTCAGCACATATTTGTGCAGTGAGCCACGGGGTGAATGAATCAGGGCTGAGTGACACGAGGACAGGTCCCCCGAGGAGGGGCCCCACTGACGTCCTGTGGTCCCTTGGTGAGGACAACAGAACGAGGACGGCAAGTCGGGTCCAGTGTGAAGCTGGGCTTCCTCGGGTGCCGTCTGGGCACACCTTCAGAGAATGGCAGCAACGGCACCTGGCAGACCCTCTGGCCGCCCAGACCACAGCCACTCCTGCCTCTGTGTGCTGCGGTGGCCCCAGGACATGACTTGGGCAGCCACCAGGGCAACCTCCTTGACCAATGCCAACCGGGAACCCCCTGCCCCTTGTCTCTGATTGGTCTAGTTCTGGAGAAGTGCCCAGGGGAGCCCTCTCCTACCATCCTACTTCCTTCTGCTTGGGAAGACAGGATGCAGGTGGTCTGCAGCCACCTTGGGGTCACAAGGCAAGGAAGGCACAGACTGAAAGGGCTAGAGTCCCCCCGACACTGCTGAGCTGCTAAGATGACCCTAACCCACTCCTAGACCCTCACCCCACTCCTAGACCCTCACTACGAGAAACAGCTGAGAGCCTTCGCTGGCGAAGCCAGTGGTAGTGGGGACCCAGCCGGGACCCGCGGCGGACGCTCACTTTGGAGAGTAGTTGCAGACGAGGTAGACGGCGTTCTCCCAGATGTCGCCCCACACGTTCATCCTCCGGCAGGTGTTGACGGCACAGCCGATCTTGGTGGTGGTGGCCCAGACCATCTGCAAAGGCAGAGCAGCGTCACGGCCCAGGCACAAGGCGCGCCTCCTGGGCTTGGGGAGGAGCTGGCCGTGGAGAGAGAGAGGCCAGGGTCTCCCTGACCCCCGGGCGCAGAGCTCTTTAAAAACAAATAAAAGAGGAAAAAGCCCCACTATTCACACGTAGTGAAAATCCCCAGCAACGTGCAACAGCCTCAGAAGCTCCGGGTGCTGGCCCGGTCCTGGCCTTACTGTGAGCTGGGGACAAAGAGCTCAGTCCCCCAGCGGCACTCTGAGTGGCGCCACTGAGGGAGCTCTGAGGCGGTGACAGCACAGAGATGCTCCAGCTCTGGCCTCAGCCCCAGAGGGACGGGGAAAGCCTGGGTCTGGAGTGCGGGCGGTGGTGGTGGCCGTCCCGAGTTACCTGCGTGTAGTGGGTGCACATGGCCCCCGAGCACCTCTCGGGGCACCAGGGGTTGCACTCGTGGGGGTAGGGGTAGGTGTAGTCCTTCACCTCGTCGTACCAGGACTGCACGTGGAAGCCCGGAGAGCGGTACCTGCGGGCAGAGAGGGCGGACCCAGAGCTGGAGCACTGCCACCGGAGGACGCTGGCGGGGGCGGCTTTGAAGGTGGCCCCTGTGTGTGCCGGAGACCCTTCTCTGGCCCCGCGGGTCCCTCTGATGTCCACTGTGCATTATTTTCACAGACACTAGGGACCGCACACGCCGCCCACGAGCCCCACACTTCAGATTCTATGGCTTAAGGAAGACGGGATTTCAGACCTGAGACCACTTAGAAGGAAGACCTAAGGCAGCCACCCTCAGACGGGACACCACTGGGCAGAGGAGTCTGAAAGTGGGGACCTTCCCAGCTACGGGGGACCGGGCAGAGGGGTCCCTGCTGCCCCTCAGGACCTGGCTGCAGGGTGCCCGAGGACTCGGGGCAGAAGCTCACTGGACAGACGCATCCAGGCATGTGGGCCTCCCAGGTGGGAGGGAGGGCGAAGGCGGGAAGCCCGTGGTCTAGGGCCGCACCCTCACGGATCCTCCTGCACCCCACGGGGAGGGCCAGGCACCACCTGTCCCCAGGCTGTCCTCCCCGGGGAACTGGCTCTGTGGCCGCTGCCCACCCACCAGCTTGGCCCTGTTCTCTTTTGCTTTGTTTTAACCAGGAAAGAAAACTGGATGCAAATCCATGGTCATCGTCACCAGCAAGCGTAAACACAGTGGTTTCAATAAGGAGGAAAAAGCTCCGGGGGAGTGGCCATCTGTCAGGGCCATGCGGTCAGCGAGGCAGTTGAGGTCTTGTAACAATTACTGCTTGTACCCAGAGCCAAGGGTCGCGGTCAGCCAGGGCCCAGGAACAGCCTCTCCCGTCTTGTCCTGGGGCCAGCTCGGGGACATTCAGGCTCACAGGAGGGAGCCTCGAACACAAGGTTCTTCATGTCCACCTCTCGCAGGCCGAGGACACGTGTGCAGTCATGCTGGGCGGTTTGGAGGGGGACGCTCGGCCAGCACAGGGCCCCAGGCTGAGCAGCCCTTGGGGAAACAAGTGAGGGAGGTGCGTGGAGAAGCCCTGGGCCCCTGACCATCAACCCCGCTCCTCGGTGGCCCCAGAGCTGACGCAGGGGAGCCCCAAAACCAAACCCAAGACAAAGCTGTAAGAGCAAAGGTGAGGTGCTGCCGTGAGCTGCGGCCTCGCCAGGCAGGACCCGGGGCCCGAGAGGTGAAGCAGGAGCGGGGGGAAGGACGCGCACCCCGGGCTCCAGGTGCAGCCAGGGAACGCGGCTCAGCACCCGCAGGCACCACGGAGGGGCCAGAGACCAAGGGTGGAATTCAGGTCTCCCGCCTCAGACCATCCGTGGGGCCAGCAGAAGGCCGCGCTCACAGAAAGCAGCGTCCACTGAAGGAAGCGCTCCTTCTCCCACCACGCACCCCCGGGGCCGTCCTGAGTGCCCAGGTTTGTCACCGACCTAGAGGACAGCATGCTGCCCATGGCCACAGGAAAGGCCAGGCCACGAAGTGGTTCTGTTCAAAGTGACAGCGAGCCCTGACCTTTGTTGGACAGGCCATCTCCATCCCAGCCTGGCTTTTCAATGACCAGGGCAGGAAGGAAGCAGACCCGGGCCCTGGAGAGTGGCCGGTGTGCCCGAGAGAACTGGGGACTCAGGGCCAAGCTGGTCGAGTCTCTGCTGGTCACCAACACCCGTCCAGCCTGTGGTCAAAGGACATCTTCCCTCTCCCTCCCTCCCTCTCCCCACTCTGGGCTGAATTCGAGGACGGGCAGTAGTGGGCACCTGCAGTGGTGGCAGGAGGTAGGGGGACCGTGGCAGCCTGGGGGACCCACAGCACTCACCGGCCCCAGTGCACGGCCAGGTTCTGCCCGATGGACACCAGCAGGTTGGCGGGGCCATGCTCCCAGAGGCACTCCTCCGCCCAGGCGGCCGCTGACCTCTCGAGCTCTTCGTCCCAGGTCTGCAGGGAGAGGACAGGAGGGGGTCAGGGCAGGGAGGGGAGTGGCCGGGCTCCCTGCAGGCCGGCTGGTTCCAGGACACCGCAGGAAGGGCTCCAGGCTCTGTGACACTGGGCTCCTAAATCAGCCCCTGGCAGGTGGCAGGTGGCAGGTGGCTGGACCCCGGGCTCCCTGCCCAGCCGCTACCCTGCTGCGACCTGGGGAAGCCCCTCCCCTGGGCTGGCCTTGGGTCTGAAATGGGACAGGTGCTGAGGCCACTCCAGCAGGCTGGGGAAGGGCCTCCCTGGGTCAGGGTGTGCCGGGGGCCTGGCCTTGGGCTTTATCTGCACCCTCCTTGTGGTCCAGTGAGGACACTGACCTCGACACTCTAATGACCAATTTACAGGATAGAAAACCAAGGTGCAGAGAAGCATGGCCACCCACCGGGGTCCCACCGGGGTCAGGCCTCTGGCCTGCAGGGGCCTGGAGCCTGCTCTCTCCACTGGTGCCATGGTGACCGAGGCTCTTCCGGCCTGGAGTCTGAATCACAGGACACGCATGTGGACAAGGCCCTGGCTCGGGATGGGCCCTGGTTAAGGATGGGTCCTGGCTCAGGATGGGCCCTGGCTCAGGATGGGCCCTGGCTC